ACATATGTAGGTATATGTGCTTATATGTGATGTACACATATATGTATGTATATATATATGTACATATGTAGGTATATGTGCTTATATATGATGTACACATATATGTATGTACATGGGGTGTATATATATGTGTGTGTATATATATATATATAAATATTTGGGTATTAGTAGGACTTTCTTCACAGAAAGGGTGATTAGGCATTGGAATGGGCTGCCCAGGGAGGCGGTGGAGTCACTGTCCCTGGGGGTGTATAAGGAAAGACTGGATGTAACACTTGGTGCCATGGTCAGTTTGACATGATGATGTTCAGTCATAGGTTGGACTTGATGATCTCAGGGGTGTTTTCCCACCTATTTGGTTCTGTCATTCCGTGATATTGGCAAATTTTAAGTGTTTACATTTGGAAACGTAAAAAGTGATTATATTAAATAGCTAAATAAAAGGGGAAAATAAAATTCCCTAGTACATGTGTGAAGAGCAGGGAAAACTGTGATTCCTTCAAGTGGCACAGTGCTGTGTTATGTCTTATGATAATCTCTGGTGACTTTGCAAGTTAAACACCATTTTTTTGAGCCTCTGTATTAGGGTACTCCACTTCTAATTCCTTAAAATGCAAGTGGCTGCTTGAGGGAACTTGCTTGGTTTAATTTACAAGATAACACTGACTGTGTCTTGACTATTCTGAAGTGGTAAAGCCTTTTTATGGTAGGGTTTATGATAGGCTTGATGTTTCTTGCAGGACAGTAGCTGCCCTTGGGTGACGTGAAGTTTAACATAATTTTAAAAGATAACTCTGTATTCAATTTGAATGTTTTAAATAGAGTTATTAATTTAAATGAGGTTTTGAAATTCTCCTCACTGTGACATCTGTGATACCATATCTTTTAGGGAGATTCTCTGTTTTCTTTCTCCTTTTTAAGAAGGAATTGATCTTTACAGTGTAAAAACTCTGTCTCACTCCTGATTTGGAGAGTGGGGAAAGAGAGTAAATGGAGTACAGTTTTACATGGAATTTTGTACATTTTCTCACACTTTCATAATAATGGTTTGAAAATGGATTGGATTAACTGCTGTCATAACAAAAGGCTTGACAGAATTCACTTTTGTTAATGCACTTTTCTATAGTATTCCTTGAAACATCTTGTAAAGATTAAAGTTCTTATTACGACAGTATTCATGCTGATTGATACAGATGGTTTCATTTTTAGGGTAGGAGATCTAAACCAAAAGGAAACTAGCTGAGAGGAACCAAGAACTTTAGGATTGACAATAGGATGCTGTGTGGGCTCCAGAGTCATCTTTCTTACTAAATAAAAACATTGGAGTTGACCCAGCCCCAAAAGCCCCAAAATGAAGGATACTGCCTTTCCTGGGGCAAAAATCACAGATAACTAGGTAGCAAAGCTACCTAGTTATCTGTGATTTAATAAGCATCTCCCATTTCCTCTCTGGTGTGTTGCAAGGCAGTGAAAAGCTGTTTCTGATTTTCATTTTGACTTCCTAAGAAGGATAGAGTTTGAAATAGGCATATGTGGTCTAGCTGTTCTGGTGAAGCGATTGACAAGAATTTTGTTCCCTGCTTAAAATTCTTCATTTCAGTATCTTGCAAGCAGTAAATGTGGGCAGTATGTTGACATTGGAGTTCTAGCATCTGATTTGCAGAAAACCTACAGGTGAGCCAAGATTTGTGTTCTTATGTTCTGTATTTAAAATATTGAATGTATTTTTTTGTTATTTTACATTCATGTATTTTTAATTAAAAAAAAAATAATTTTTGTCATGTTAGCATCCTTGCCAGTTGTTGAGGTTGATTGAAACAGTAAGGATTTCCCCTCCAGTGTTTCCCTTTGCTGATATATCCAGTAACACAGATCTTATTAACGCGCTGGGATTACACGATCTAGTCATGGGTTGATTTATTTGTTTTTTGTTTTAAATAAACAGCTAAAGATGCGTGGCAGCATGTTGGTCTTTACCCCAGTGAGCTTAAAATATGAGGGGAAAATTACTCTTCAGTGCAGGCACAGGGGAGAGATACAGGACCCAACAAGACATTATATTGTGCTCAGTGGCTCAGCAGGACAGTCAGTCTTATCTAATTATTTTTGGGCTGTTACACTTTTCTGAGTGGGGAGCAAGGTGTTTTTCAGCACATCATTGGTGGGATTAATGAAGATGGAGAAGTGTATTCACTCATGTTTGTGTGCTCTGTTTATTTGTGCCTTGTTAGAGAAAATGAGCCAAACTCCCTTGCTTAGGATGCTTATGGGTTTTGGGGTTTTGTTTTGCCTCTGTTGGGTGTTGTATTAAAGCAAGTGAGTAAAACACACCTTCAGTAAGTGAAGGTAAAAGGCTGATGATTTTTGTTTGTATCTAAGGATACTCTTGAATCAGAATTTCTCATAGTGATCATTATTAATTAACACAGTTATTCCTTACTGGACTGTCCTTTCTAGAATATAGTCCTGTGTCCATATGTTCATGTTTGCATTAAAATTAAAATATTGTTAATGTTGTGAAATAGAATCCAGTGTGCTCATTTGTACCTTGCTGCTTCTCTGTATCTACAGTTGAAGAGGACCTTGATAATTTTTACTAAATATCCCCTTAGAGACCAGCATAGTTTAGTGGTTTGGGTTCATTCCAGTGACTGAGCTATTCCAGTCTTAAGAAAAAATAATCACATTTTCACATAGTTGGTTTTTAATAAGAACTTGTGTGGAAGCTCGGCTATCAGCTTAGCATGTATTTTTTTCACTGAGAATGACAATATGTTGGGGGGAAAAATCAGTTGGTGTAACCTGTTTATTTTGGTTTTCTTTTTCAGTGCAGAATATGGACGAAGAAAAAGAAATGCCTTTAGAATACAAGTTGCAAAAGGTAGTTCTGTTAGCGTTGTGTGCAAGATGCCAAATTCTTTGATTATGGTTTGGCTGTTTTCTTAAATGTTTGAACTTTTTCTTTCAGTGTTTGGAATAATCAGTAATGAAAAACAACGTGAGGATTTAGCAGCTTTAGAAGCTGAACATGTGGCAAAAAGAGCAAGACAAGAGAAAAATGAGTAAGATGAATTTTTACCAGTAGATTAATAATGCCTTTAGTGTTATCATTTCTTTAAAGCTCTCTGTCTTTATATTATTAAATTTTGGTAGTTTCAAGGTTACAGGTGGATCCTTGATATCCCATAGGCCTGTCTTCTTCAGAAGTTACCTGTATTTATTGGAATCACTTTTGTCCCTAGAGACAAGCAGATACTAAAGCTAATCATGATTTCTCTGTTATGGGGAACATACAGCCCTGAATTAGTGGATACCTTGGGGCATCTTTGATAGTTTTCCACACAAGGCCTCAGTTCTCCTGTGATTCAGTTCCTTTGTTCTGTTTTGTCCTTAATCTTTCTTGAGAGTGAGAGATATTGTCTACATCTGAGAGACAAGACTACAAGACAGGCTGTTCTGAGTAAATCACCAGTGGGAATTGAGATTTCCTGACTCCTAAACCTGTGCATGGTCTCATGGACTGTTCTGGTTTCTCTAACTTGTGGTAGATATTAAGGATCTTGTGGGAAATTAAAACAATGTTGTCAGAAGGACTAGTCTAGTTCAGCAGTGATTTGCTTCTGCTTCCCTTGTGCTAGCACTGGTGATTCTGTGATCTCTTGGTAAACTGAGTCAGAGTGATCCTACATCACCTTTTTTTAGGCCTGTCTTTCAGCCAGGCTGACAAGTTGATCCAACTCATCACAGACTTGGAAAGGATGCATTTTTTAACTCTTAATAGTAGAAAATTTGAAACATGCAAGTCAGAAATTTCTCTCCAGCTTTAGGCTGCGTGTCATAGTTGTGGGGAGCCACATTGCTGAAATTGCATTTGTTTTATTTTATGGATGCCTCACAGTTCTGCTCTGATAATCATGGAGTTTTTGTCTTCCTTCCATGTAAAGGACTACTGGAAGTACCACAGATGACTCTGATTATGATGATTATCCAGAAGATCTAGTAAGTTGTATTTTATTATGTTTGTATTTGCATAATATATGATTCTATGTTGTAAAAGTGCACTTGGAAAATTTAAAAGTGGAGATAAGAGAGGAGGTATAGTCAGAGTTTACAATTCCCACTGAGAATCTATAGAGCTGAAAGGAGACTAAATTCTGAAGGAATAGGAAGAACCTGTGGTGGGGAATCACTTTTGAGGAAGATACAGTGGAGGCCTGAAAGATTTATCAAATGAATGAAGTGATTAAAGGAACTGACATACCCAACTATACAAAAAGAGGTGCCTGCCAATTAACAGGGTCATTTCAGGGTGAATTGCAAAGGCTGCTGCCCCTTCAAGGAGCACAGACTTTTATATGCAGTCATTTGATTTGC